ATTGTGAGATTCTGCCATATTGCAAAACATTGAAAAAAGTATTTCTACCACTGATTGATGATATAGAAGTATTATTTTTTAGGCAGTGGAAACATTTCACCCATGGTAAAAATGCTTCTGGCTCTGTTAACACAGCACAACAATTCAAACTGGCAAATACATGACATGTCCTGACCTGCTCTGAGGTAAAACCAGTCAGGGTCGTAGGGTGCCAGTTCCTTGTGGGGAGCGGTCTTCACCAGGTCCACCCATTCAGGCAGCCTCAGTTTACCTGACCTACAGGACAACAATGGGACATTTCTGGTCAGGCACAAATTTCATCCAAGCTGTAGTATTTTAACTTCTGTCTCTCTGCACTAGAAAACTATTGCTCTCATCTGCTAGAAACTTATCTAAATGTTGTGTTGACTTATGTAGCTGTGAATGTTGAAGTAGCACTGGTAATGACTGCAGGGTATGGTTGCCAAATGAAACATGAAAGAAACCATATGCACTTTGTACAGATTTACTAACTAATTTGGAGGGTCAGTACAATTATGTTTCAACTGTCTTGACAACAAATCACATAATTTCTATATAACGCTATGCTTGTGGCCTAAAACATGTAGTCAAGAAACTCAAGATGGTATGCAGGTAAGTCTGTAGCAAATAATTTTGTACGTTGTGAAACAAAATCATTGTATACTCATCTCATCTATTTCTATTTGGTTCAGAAGGTAGAAAGTACCTATATACAGTTTACACACAATTTTTTTTCAGTGACTTACTTCTTGAGGAAGGCCGCAAAGGCCTTGACGAACTCTTGCTGGTTCACGTCTTTTACTGTCACACCACCAGGCATCTGTGAGAAAAGTATAAACATAACACGTTTTGTACAACCTATTCACACACAAAAAAAGGAACAGTAACATAAATGGCTTTGTAATCGATGGTGAAATAATCCTGGATGGGGGGGGGCAAATAGTGTGTATAGCGAAACAGATTTTTGTCATATTTGGTTCAACTCTTGAAGACAAAATAGCAGAAACAGTCGGATACCAGAAACAAGATCGTACAGTACAGACTTTTTATGCTATGAGCAGCTGTGTCCAAAATGAAGTTCCCACCACGATCGGCATCCGCCATTTTACTATGAGTATGACCATGTGCATGCAAGTCGCCAGAAAGAAGGCGAGATCAGTCACTTTTTTCAACCCCTCAGTCGTAACTGAGACACATTATATTATCTCGTTGGAATCTTGGATGCTTTTTTGTTCATTTAGGTCGAATTTTTAATGTAAGGTTTGGCTTATAACAGAAATATAGGCCATCTAAACGCGTAAAGGGAAATCTCAGACCTACCTTGAAAAATGGTGGCAAGGGAAAGAGGCCGAGAAAGGGAAAATATCCCGGATGCCACGTGAAACTTCGCGAGATTTGACTCAACAACTAACATTTCTGCAGTTTGTACAAGGGTCGCTAGCTGTCACTGCTGCGCGGTCCTTGAAATGTTGGATTGGCTTTAGACAAACAAACTATGCATTGCAACAATAAAATGCATCCTTGCGATTCTCTGAAGGGAAAAATGTGTTTATACATTAATCCTGATTAGCAAAACTGAACATGCGTGGTCAAGAAAACTGCAGAAGCAGGAATCTGCAGTACTAAACTGCTCCGTTGCGTGTCGCTTATTCAGACTGTGACCCGAACACATGTGTTCTAGCATGTCCAGGGGCCTACTCGTATCCTTCTTCTACAAGTACTTGGTTTGGAGAGCCGAATCTCGTCGTAATTCGTTGTAAAGCAGCTGAAATAGAACCAAGACCATCACCAAGTGATACAGACAGGTAAACATTGTCCCTATGAACGATAAAATCGTTTTATTGGTTTGAAATTCATAATGTGGCTGCGGGTGTGGGAGGGGGGGGGGGGGCACGAATATTTTCTGTCTTGAAACCAGCTCTTCTTGTGTGCTTCAAATGTTTTGGGAAATGTTTTGGGCATGATCATTTGTACAATGCATAGTAACTTCCAGAAATCGAGATCATATATTCAGTATGCTTCAAGTTATTGTATCCAACTTCCCCCAATCATATAAACACCAACTGGGTGCATAAATTTCATAGGAAAATTCTATTCCATAGATTGAATAAGATTAAGGAAATTACTTCATAACTGTTTGGGCAACACTGATGATGTTGTATGATTACAGAAGTGAGATGGACCAGTGTGTGCTTGTGTCAGCTGACAACAGCCACGCCCCCATCCCCCTGTCACATGACCAGCCTGTGGTCCTGGGGCGGGGTCCACTAAGCAGAATAGCTGACAAGAAATGCTCCAGACAGCAAGGTACATCTACATCCTCCATATTAAAACTCTTCTCAAGAATTTATATTTATCTCGTAGCCATGTTTTCGTAGGGTTCTTACTCTGCATTTGTCCGCTGTGTGTAGTATTGTAACTAGTGGCAATTGACCCCGGCCACCACCTTGTGAACCCAATGCACCGACCGCTCGGCCAAAAGGTCCGGACCTGTCAGTTTGTAGAACCTGAAACCCCAATTTTACAGCTGATTGGATCAGACCTTATTTCAAGAATCAGATGCTTACTCTTAGACATCTTCAGTGACACTCGTAATTTGAAATATTAGATATTTATTAGCAAAAGACCTCTGTATGTTTTCACATTGTACACCTACTTTTTGAGAGTATGATTCTATTAATACAGCTAACCTAAATGTTCTTATCTTGTTATTTCCAGTTGAACTGACAGTGGACCTTGAGAAGAAAAGTGTGACACTGAAACAGGTTTGTTTGCCATTCAGTATTACTAGTATATTGTTGTGTATACTCCATGAACTACCGGTATGCATCTCATGTAAGATTATTCACCTTTGAATAAGATGATTTAGGACAAAAGTGGTGAATTTGGGGCCCCCTCTATTATGTAGTTATATACTGTAATCTTGGATACCATCTCTTCTATGATGTAGGACTAACAGGTGTCCTATCTAATGTTGTGCTCCAAGAACTAAATAGTTAGGCAAAAGTCTGTGATCTTGGCTAGAGACATAATTTGTTCTGTGAAAGAAATACATGTACATGTAGAGTGAAGTCTTTCATATAGTATGTAATTGTGAAATTATGACATTGTTTGTATGTTTGTTTATTTGTTCCACAGTTGGGTGCCAATCCCTGCAGTGTTGGAGGAAAAGAGCTCAACACAAATGAAACCGTCACCCTTAACCATGGGCAAGACTTCTGTATGCTGTTCGACATGTTTCCTCAGCGTGTAGAATTTTCTTCATACACAGACACCAAGAAGCCCCAAAATAAGCCAAAAGAGGCTAAGACTAAAAAACAAGACACTGATAGTTCTTCATCAAGTAAAAACATCCTGCACTTTTTCCAGAAGAAACAAGGGGTCAAAAGACCACCCAGTCCTGAGGGAAACCCTTTACCTGTAAAGAAATTAAAGCCTGGAAAAAAGTTGGCTGCCATGTCAGACAGTGAGGGATCAGACAATGACAATGACAGCAGGCAGGGGAGGGGGGTTGACTTGGGCAAATCACCAGCGAAGGAGAAGCTAAAAGACATGTCAGACAGTGAAGAGTCCGACTCAGAACACAGGAGGGATATCCAAGAGAGACTGAAACGTTTGGGACAGATGTACGAGGCACAGTCTCCAGAAAAAGGAGCAGCAAAACCAGAGAACACGGGAGGGAAAGTTAGACCTGGGGGATCAGCCATGTCGGGTACACCAACCACTGATGCATGCTGGGAAGAGTTCGATGAACTGCTAGTCTATACCAGCAAGGGGGTACAGGGTTGTAGTAAGGTCGCCAGTTTTGACATTGATGGAACGATTATCGTGACCAAATCTGGGAAGGTGTTTGCACAAGACACCTTTGACTGGAAAATTGCCTTCTCAGAAGTTCCTGGGAAGCTGAAGAAGTTGAGTTCTGAAGGATACAAGGTTGTCTTCTTCACCAATCAGATGGGCATCCAGAGGGGGAAGATCAATGAGAAGGACTACAGGAGGAAGGTGGAAGACATAGTGGCCAAGCTTGGCGTTGCAGTTCAAGTGTATGTTGCTAGGGGGAGTGGGAAGTACAGGAAGCCTGTAACGGGCATGTGGGACCATCTAGTGGAGAGAGGAAACGATGGTGTACCTGTGGACAAGGATGCCAGCTTCTACATCGGGGATGCAGCAGGAAGACTGGTGAACTGGGCCCCGGGGAGGAAGAAGGACTTTGCCTGTAGCGACCGTCTGTTTGCGATAAACATCGGACTCACCTTCCACACTCCCGAGGAATATTTCCTCGGCTACAGGAAGGCCACGTTCAAGCTACCCGACTTTGACCCAAGAAAGCTGGATGCAGATGGTCCTCTGTACGCTCAACCCACTCTTTTGTCCTCGGCACCTGAGGTTATAGTGATGGTGGGATGTCCCGCTTCGGGAAAAACGTTCTTCGTCAAACAGAACCTGGTTTCGCAGGGGTACGTCCACGTGAACAGAGACATGCTGGGTACGTGGCAGAAGTGCGTGGCGGCGTGCAGCCAGGCGCTGGCCGGCGGGAAGGGCGTGGTGGTCGACAACACCAACCCTGACGTGGAGTCCAGGAAGCGGTACGTGGACTGTGCGCGCCAGGCGAAGGTGCCGTGCCGCTGTTTCGTGATGGACAGCTCGCTGGACTTGTGCCGCCATAACAACCGGTTCCGCGACATGACCTACACGGGTGCGGGGCACGTGAAGGTGGCGGATCCCGTCATATTCTCATTTCGGAAGAAATACGTGGAACCTCAGCTGTCCGAAGGGTTTGACGAGATCATAAAGGTGAACTTTTTGCCAAAGTTTGAAGACAAGAAGCTTGAGGCCATGTACAGGCAATTTTCAGGTTAGGTCTGAAGAAGATTACAAATTAAAAAGCAAAGTAAAAAAGCAAAGCATTTTCTTCTTAGTTTAAATAGCACATATTTCACAACTAGTTGATACTAGTAGTGCCAAATGAAAAGATCTATTCCTATTTCTTTTTATGAATGTTCTTTACTGGGTTACTAGTATTTCATTCAAATAGTTGTAGTCAAGTCCTTTTTAGTTAAGAAAAATGAACACCAAACCATGTCACCAATGATACAAGGTAACAGAAATTATACAAAACCCATGCTTATTCATGTGAATCAACTACATGTATCTTAATGTAATTGTTTATTTCAGGCTTGACGGCCCAAATTGACAAACATATCTAATAGATGTACATGTATTACTAAATACTGCATACCTACAAAAGAATATAATGTAATATACTAAGTTAAGGCCCAATTAATGAAACAGCCATAAAGTTTCCAGTTTATTTCTGACCACATTGCAATAAAATGCCACCAGTAATACCATGGAGGTAAAAAAATCAAAGTAAAATAACTGATACAAAATAAAAACATCAATCAATGTTGCTAACACAAATGTTTAAATAAGTAGGTTCAGGTACAAATAGGAAGGTTCTGTGCAACCAAAGAGGCTAGAAAGATGTAATTATAACTGTACCAGGTCGTTTCTGAACACATTAAAGCAAGACATGCAGAAATGTAGGCCTGTATGACTGTTGTGATTCTTGAGTAAAGAGACCCTTTTTACACAACCAAGTCTTTTTTGTTGTGATTCTTCTAACTTAGCCTAGCTCCAGGCGTGTTTGAGGCTCACTCTCTTGTCTGAGGTTTATAAAAAAAGGAGAATCAGTGCTTCAGATTGCACAGAAAGATGCATCCAAGATCTTTACACTGCTGTGTAATTATTGCCTTGTCACAGAAGAGGTAGTTAGCAGCAATATGGAGCCAGCAGTAACTATGGAGGATGGCAACCTGTCTACAGACGAGATGTCCCAAATGGGAGTTTCCTCTAATGGCTAGTTCCTCTTTAATCAGGTGACTGTCGTAACCCCAGGAAAAAATGGACATGTTCACGGAACTATATATTCACAGTGGCGACAGGTACAGGAAAAAGAAAATCCAGGAATTATTTGTTAACTGTAATGATAAGTTCACGGTACAGAAGTGACAGTGAAAACGGTGAATACATAACAGTACAGTGAAAAAATCAGGAATCACAGTAGTATCCCACTATGAGTTTCGGTTAATCTCCAATCAGATTCTGTGGGGCAAGGGGAGTCTATATTGGTCTCTTGTAGTTAGTTGCAGTAGGCCAGTGGATACAGGCGGCAAATATAGGAATATAGTCTCCCCTTGGCCCTTGCCCCACAGAATCTGTTTGGAGATTGTTTTGAACAATGCACACGGTAACTTAATCATGCGCAACTCCCCGCGTCACAAGGTGAAACAGAAACTTGACGCCTTGGGCAATTCTAGTTTCAAAACTAGGGCGAGGTGTACTTAAACCATGGCTGCGGATCGTACGGACCTGTGCCGCCTGTCCTACATTTGTGGAGTCCTCGCTGTCTGTTTCGCGGGATTTTGTTGGTGTCAAGAAGTGAAGACCGTGTCCGTCTTCGAAAATGCCGACGTCGGGACAGCAGTTGTCAACATTCCTCTGCTTTTCAGCATTACAGTACGCGTGCCCACAGAAAATTTAAAAGCGGAACTTCCGTGTTCTGTTTTAGACGGAGACCGGTATGGTCGCTTCGCCGTGAACGAAAACTGTACCCTTGTTGTCAACAATCCCTTGGATTACTCGGTACAGTCGGAGTATGTTCTCAAAGTCCTTATCTCAGGACGAGTCCACCGAGAGGTGAAGGTAAGGCTACAAGTCCATGACGTCGTGGGCTATCCCCCGGTCTACAACATCACCTGTGAGACACCTACAGTAAAACAGAATGGAGAGAGAGGAACATTTTTATTTCAGGCGGGTTTGCAAGTAGAGGGTGTAACGAGCGACGGAGACGTTCTTTCAGCTAAAGTAAGATTTCCTAAACCGAATTGGGATCCTGGGGATCCCTTGCCTTCAGATCACCCACAGCTCATCGTGAATACGGACAACGGGGACTGCACGGTCGATCTGTTTTGGGCTGTCTATCAAGCAATCGACGAAGCAATTGTTGATAAGCTCTGGTTGACAAAGGTACATTCTATAACATGTTTCAGTGGGCCTGCCTCCGATCGGAATAGCTCAGTCTTCATGATAAATTTAATTGATAAGGAAGCAAACTATGATCCTCGGCTGAGTTACGTAAGAGAGAACGTCCCTGACAGCTGGATGGAAAGTGATTTTCAAAAGTATATTGTCTATTCTTCTCTGACAACAATGTCAGGAGACCAGCGACGTTTCGTGTGTCAGCTACCAGAAACAATGCCCTCCATCAAAATTAGACAGTCTTTAATGACAGTTGACATTGTTGCCATCAACTACGTGTGGGCAGAGATCAAACCAGTCGGCTGTCCGAGAGGAAGATACGGCTGGGCATGTCAGAACATCTGTATATGCAGGAACGGGGCATATTGCCATGCCTTCAATGGAGCCTGCAAGTGTCAGCAGGGGTGGACAGGTGTGGCCTGTGACATTCCCAAAGATACCGTCTCCGTTGTAGCGACACCTAGCGATCCTCGCGATTTGTACATCTCCGGAAACGTGACACTGCGCTGTGAAGTGTACGATGTAGATGTTGTGACAACGTCGTGGATATTTCCAGATGGGTCTGCAAAAACAACGACAGGTGCCGACGGCACTGAAATCACGATCTCCGACATAAAGACAACGGATAATGGACCCTACATCTGTCAGGTTAACGACTCACGTGGGGACGTTTTCAAGACAGACGTTGTGCTGAACGTGGACAGTTGTCCCCCTGACAGAACAGGCCAGCACTGCGAGGACGTCTGCGGCTGCCGACACGGCGCCAGTTGTGACCGGTGGGCTGGCTGTGTGTGCCCCGCTGGATGGACGGGACGCAGGTGTCAGACCGCTTGTCCGCAGGGCACGTACGGGTACGGCTGTAGGGAGACGTGCGAGTGTGAAAACGGCGCGTGTCTGCCTAGCGACGGCGTGTGTAACTGCACAGAGGGCTGGTTCGGACAGGACTGTAGCAAGCCCTGTTTACCTGGACGTTACGGGTGGAGCTGCCATCAAATCTGCACCTGCAAAAACAACGCCACCTGTCATCACGTGGATGGCACCTGCAAATGCACCCCGCCCTGGACAGGACCTACGTGTAAGGTTTTGGAGGGGAATCAGAGTAATGACCCACCGCTCACATATTTTATATATGTGGTCCTCATCTTTGTAGTTACGTTTTGCCTTATATTACTAGCTGTGCTGTACAGGAAAAGGCGGGTAACTTGTCGCGCAGTCGACGACAAACGAGAAACGAGGCTTCTCCTTGAGCTCGAGTTGCAGCGCCTGGAGGAAGACGTGACAGAGTCCTTGCAGCCAGGATGGCTGAAGCGATGGGAAAGGAAACCCAACTGCCTTTCCCCTGGCATCATGATCGGAATGGGGATGTTTGGATACGTCCGGAGGTCCCAGTTGCGCACGCCTGAGGGGGAAGTCACCGTCGCGGCCAAGTCCGTCCGGACTGAGGACGCGCAGTGCTACCGCGACTTCTGCCGAGAGACCGCCATACTGGTAACCGTACATGAAGATAAGGATCACAAAGCGTCCGAATCAAATATCATCCAACTGCTCGGGCTCATCACCCAGTCTCCAGAAAAGTTTATCCTTTTGGAGTTTGCTCCAGGTGGAGACCTTTTAAACCTGCTACTTAGTCACGAGTACCAAGCTTTCAAGGAATGCGCTCAACTGGTGACAGTCGTAATAAGACTTCTTCGGTATGCGGAACACGTATCGTGCGCCTTGAAGGAGCTCCAACGTTTACGTATCGCCCATCGAGATGTAGCGGCGCGTAATGTCCTCATCACGCGGGGTGACGTCGCCAAGCTGGCGGACTTCGGGTCAGCCCGGGATGTCTACACCACTACTCAGTACGTGCCCGCCGACGCACAGAGCAACGTGCCCGTTCCGCTGAAGTGGATGGCGCTGGAGTCCTTAGAGTCCCGCAAGTACACCTGTCAGAGCGACGTGTGGTCGTTCGGCGTGTTTCTGTGGGAGATAGCCACGCTCGGAGACGAGCCGCACTACGACGGACGCCTACATCTGACCTGTCCCGAGTTGGTAGTGCTTCTCCGACAGGGCGTTAGGCTGGACATCCCACGAGAATGTCCGACTGACCTGTACGGAATAATGACGTCATGTTGGGCGGCTGACCCATCTGCAAGACCCAGTCCCGAGACACTTATCGAACGTATTGATAAAGTACGGATGGACAGTTGTCTACTTGTTGAGTTTGAGACGTCAGTTTAGTATAGATATATTCACCATCTTTCCTGTAAACGAGTTTGAGAGATCAATTTAGTAGTCATGTATCATAAACGGTTTCTCTTGTTTCTTATTATGTATCATACTTATCATACTAGACATGTACTGAGGCGTGCAGTAACATTACGTTAAAATACAATATTAATACATTAAGCGGGTGTTGCGCCATGTGTATGTATGTTTTTCGATGCATATTATAATATTTTGCGGAGGTACGAAATATGCTTTGACTGTATCAGCAACTTTTTTGACAAGGTGGGGATGTATAGAAATAGTCTGTGTAAATTCGTCACATTGTACGTGTCTGCTTGTTGTAACGTTAACGTTACCTGGTTGAACTAATAAAAATAAAGATAAAAATGTTTTGCACATCGATTATTATATGGCGTTTTGGCGGAAAAGGAACCGTTAGCTTTAAGCCCGATCAAAAGTCAGTCTACAAAACCTGATTATCATTAGTCCTTGCTAGAGAGAAGGTTGTCTCCCTCTAACCAAGGATTTTAAGCTCCTTGCTCTCACCTGTACATGTATCACCTCCTACCTTCATTGTGCAATAGTAAATCGCCTCACGTCTAATCGACCGACTAGACGGCGATAGTTTGTAAATGAGTCACACGGACTACGATCAAGACCACCTTTTTTCTTCCCGTAAATCAAACATGAGTCGATATTACCCAGTTTCCAATAACGTTAACAGGTAGGGCCAGTTTTTGAGGTAGCCTGGGTAGCAGACCCACATCACTCTACTGGGCTCAAAGTTATTTTGTGTGCAGGATAACTTTGAGCCTAGTGTGCTGTGGGTCTAGCACCCAGGCTATTTTTGAGGCATCCTTGACGCGAGAGAATCGTAGTCTCAGTACTAGCCTCTACAAGGCTTCGGGAGGCGGCTGGAAAGGGTAGAAATCGGCCAAATAGAGAGAAAGCATGCCAAGGGAGTTTGGTCCGTGGGAGAACAGTTCGCCGCTCCCAAACTCCCTTGGCATGCTATCTCTCTATTTGGCAGATTTCTACTGCAAAAAGCACCCATGGGAAACAGAAGAAAATATTATATTTGATATGATTTATGTAATAATCATCAAAAAATGCAATTTTCTTCCGTTTCCCATGGGTGCTTTTTGGTGTATTTGGGGTTTTCTGATGCACAAGATGTATAATATCACCAATCAACAGAGTTTGTAGAAAAGCACTTTAGTTTGGTGAAGTTTGAGCACCATTTTTGAAGCAAATGTTTGCATAAATGTTTATGACACAATGGAAGAAGTTGTACATAAGTTACAAAAGTCAGATAGCCTCATACACTACTTGAGTCCTTTGATGATTCAAAGAACCAACAAGAGTTCCACGATCTCATACCTTCGCCAAATGATGTTAACCCTTGCGGGGGACGAATCATACAATCTTAATCATTGATTTTGTAAATAAGAGCCTCATTTGCATGGATTATATCAGTTGATCATATTCACCATCCAATGACAGCCTTATCATAACAAAAAGGCTATTATAGCACTTCCTCATAAATTATGCAAATGAGGTCATGATTTGAATAAATTATGTTTATTGATGTTCACCTTCACTTTACTTCCAAATGTGGTAAGTATGAAATTCGGGGTGCAGCAGTTACAACTATGGAATTATAAGAATTTGCCATTAATTATGCAAATTAGGTCCTCATTTACATAATCTATATCCTCAGATGTTTTTCTTGTTCTCAAGTGGATGTCACAAGTGTTTCATAGTTCTATTACCGAACAAAGCAGATTTATAGAATTTCCTCATTAATTATGCAAATTAAGTCCTCATTTGCATAATTGTCATTTGATTATATATATATGTCAAGCATCACTTCAACTACCTACATACCAAAAATCACGACAATACGTCAATCGGTTCTTGAGTTATCGTCCTTCAAATTTTTTTCAACAAATGCTCCTGCAGTTCCAGAACAAGGCGCTAGGGGACCCAAACTTATGTCACTTCTTCCCTATCCAAGAGCTATCTACCAATCAAAATTCGTGACCCTAGCATGTACAGAACATGAGATATCAAAACCGGAAGTTCGACTGCAGTACCTAGGAAAGCCGCCAGGGGTCCCAAAATCTAATCATTTCTATGTCTCATGGAGACCTACCCACCTACTAAGTTTCATTCCAATCCATCCACTGCTTCTCGAGTTATCTTGCTAAACCACACACACACAAACACACACACACACACACACACACACACACACAAACGCTACTGAAAACATAACCTTCTTGGCGAAGGTAAAAATTACTGGTCTAATTGTTGCCATTGCTGCACTTTTAAAGGAAAAATGACAAGACTATATACCTGGTGCTGACAGTCAGCCATCTGGGACACGTGTTGTGGAATGTGTATTGCAAAGGACGATGGGATAGTATCATTTCCCCACCTGGCCGCCTCCCGAAGCCTGGTAGAGGCTACTAAGACTTTACAAGTTTCGCGCCAAAAATGGTGACCTCCGACCTTCGCGACGCATGCGTCACACGTCCACCCAAGATGTCTGTCGTTCAGCGCACTCCAGCGGCGGGATGGCCGAGAAACACCTCCCAGTACGGCGGGCAGTACGGCTCCACCCGCTCCCTCACCCTGGACAGGACCATCAACCTGTAGGTTCAACACACACCAAATATCAGCTCACGGGGCGGCGTGGTTTGGGAGCAGGAGGGGTGGCTTGGGTTGGGGGGATGGGACACACATGGATGTAGCAAAATTATTTGTTTCAGGTCTCATCATCAGAAAACCTTTGTGTCCAAGAAAAGTGTTCTAGTGGAACTGTGAAGATCTGTGTAGAACTGTGTAATAGGTAGTGTGATAGTGTAGATTTTTAAAAATTTTTTCAATGTTTTATCTCGAGCTAGGCATGAGAATGCATAGTGTTTGTTGTGTGCCCCCCTCCCCACAGATGGTTTATAACAATGAATTTCAAATTATGTGTCACGGGATATTATGATACATACATGTACTGTAAAAACCGAAAGGGGCGAGCATGTCACAACTGGGAATCGAACCCGAGTTGTCCGCTTGGCGGTCACCAACGCTAACCATTACACTAAAAGGTCGCACGACCATTTAGCATGGTCAGTTAGCACTGTTACACTACTCCCCCTTTTCTCTCAAGATATTTGGTATGCATTCTTACAATGGGTAGTGTAGTACATTATGTTACACCTGTACATATCCACGATACAAACAAAATGTTTATCAGTCAGTACAAAACGTTTGAAGCATCTGGTGGTGACACTTGTTGTTGTAACTGATCTAATTTGCATAATTTATTTTAATGAGGTAAAAATTATGCAACCAAACACTTAACACTTTTACAGATCACTTTTTACAGATCATAATACTCCTGTACTTGCAAAAAAGATGTGTCATTGTGTGTGAGTTTTCAATTTAGGCATGATAATAAACTTCTCCCTTCTTGCCATGCCTTCAAGGTAACGTTACATGTATTGGTAATGATTTAGTTATTGTATCAGGAAAAAACCCTTTGTACATGTATATGCCATGGCGTATCTTGAGCAGGTATCCCCTCACAAACTACACATTCGGCACCAAGGAGCCCCTGTATGAGAAGGACAGCTCGGTTCAGGCACGGTTCCAGCGGATGAGGGAAGAGTTTGACAAGATCGGGATGCGGCGGTCGGTGGAGGGGGTTCTACTGGTGCACGAACACGGCCTGCCGCATGTCCTGTTGTTACAGCTGGGGACCACTTTCTTCAAACTGTGAGTATCAAGCATTGGTTGAATATCTGCGGTGGTTGGAGAAGGCAATATGACAGAGTTTTCCAGTCCTGTGCAAAAGACAAAATTATCCTTGATACATTTTAATCATGATCATGCCTTGATCAGCATCTTTAGTCAGTAATCAGACAGTATTCCTATAAATCCCTCCCCATAATACACACTCATGGTTTTATTAAAATGACTTGCATACAAAGGCTCTGGAGACTACTTGAAAAAAGTATCATACAATTGAAACATTTATTTGTGACTTTTATTATAAAATCAGAATTCCCAGCATTTGCCACCTTGGATACTACGTAGTACGTACTAGTAGTATCTAGTCAGAAATGCCACCTTGCAATCACATGCCAAAGTGCAGCTGCAACATTCACTTATCCGTTGCTTGCATACAGGTAACTGGTATCTTTTTTTTTTTTTAATCCTCTGTGTTTTCTTGTTCTGTTACCCCATAGACCTGGAGGGGAGCTGAATGTGGGGGAGGATGAAGTGGATGGGCTGAAGAGACTGATGAATGAGGTAAAGATAGAGTATTCCTATATCCTTTTGTCAACTGTGTTATATCCCAAACAGTTAACCATGTTATATCCCAAACACTGCATGCAATCCACCAATTCATACTACAAAGGGCGCGTACGTGTACTAGTAATAGTATGTTATTGTATTTTTGACAATTATTTATTGTTGCTGTTTTTTTGAAACCATATTAATTAGTACAATTCAAGCTTTGTTTTCTCATCATTTTGTATAGTCTTAAGTCTGAATTATTCTTACCCCATAGACTGACTAACTAGTATGTTGTCCTTGGTTATAGAGGGTTCTGGTAATGGGAAATCAGGCACAGAACATGTTTCAAGTTTTCTGACTCATACATATTTGTATTGCCTGCCACAACCCTGAGTTGACTGTGTGGAATCACTGGAAAATAAACCGTGCAGTTCTAGAGCAAAGTGACAGAGGACTCTCTTGGCCATCTGAAAACAATGGAAAACCTTGAAACAAGATTGAAGATTCAAATACATGTAATTAGAAATGCAGAAAAACATTTGATAGGTATTAATCACATTTCATTTTATTACACATTGAAAATCCCGTTTGTCCATTGTCTACTTTGTGAGGCCTTAAGAATCCTAATACAGATAAGAGCAGCAAATTTCTATACTGTAGACAGTAGCACAATTTGAAGACAAATGAGAAAATCGACTTTATGGAGAATCATTTCCATGCAAACCGTTCTTAGCAGTCTCTGCCAGTTCATGTCATAGCAGTTTATAACCTGAGCTTATCACAGTTTGGATCATGGTAGATAAAGTTCCCAGTGACGGTGAGGAATCTTTCAGAACCAAGAGCCCTCTGTCTTGTCACGCCAGTACTTCAAGGTTACATGAGTAGGCAGAGCTCAATAGAACTAAGTAGTTGTACTAGCCTGTTGCTACTATAAGGGTAAAGCTGCTACATGTATAATATACATGCACATGGTCTGTCATGTAGTTGATAGACTGTGAAACAAAGATTGACTGATGTAGAAATATTAATTTTCCACATATTCATGCCATTGTGTATAGGTATTGTTGAAGGAGTTGATGTTGAAAGTTCATGTAATTTTTCCTTACTTGACATTTTAGATTGTACTACAAATACCTTGAATTCCATCACTGATAATTATTTTCTTGTTTTTATTTCCTAAACAATACAAAGAATTGAATGTAATTAAGCTGCCAAGCACTAATTAGCAGAATTGTGGAAAAAAACGCAACATATAATTGCAATATTATGAGTACCTTTTAAAATTTTCCAAGCTTTTAGAATATAGTTATAGAAGATGTATCATGTTCTTAATAGAGACATTTGGGGTAGGACAAAGAATTCTAACATGAGGTGCTATGTTCAACCTTTAAAACAGTGGGTAACAGAAGGGGCTGTAGTGATTTGTTTTCCCTCCATGACTCAGGCCAGGACAGGTCATGCATAATGCCAACCTTGTTTTATATGATCACTTGTGATATAGTTTTTAGGGACCCCGGGCAGCAAATGATAAATACACTCAGTTGAACGTGTCAGAAGAGTAATTTCATCCACAATAGACCTCATGAAATTTTCAACATGGTCATTTCTCTACCTCTAGTCTGTGTTATCGAGAGTTATTGGTGGTATTAGGACAGGAGGAAAGGTAACAAGTAGAATATGAGTTTATCTGATGTATCTATTTTGTGTAAGTCGTAGAAGTTCATTTTTCACTGTCTGTGTTATTCGGTTTGGGACAGAAAATCTCTTTTTGTAGAACGAGGTAATTTATGCCATTATGTAGTTTTCACCTTTTTATTCATAGTAACAAAAGCTTGTATTGCTTGATAATGTAGGATAATTGACATTTTTATGAAATGCATGAAGGCTGAAAAAAATTGCCTCAATCAAATGCTGATAATGTGGCATTGTGAACCTTCCTCCAGCCCATGCATAATGTACAAGTGATGGATAATATGCTGGAGACCGGGCTTCTATTCTGGGGTTGTCTTTGTCGGGGTGTGAAGGTGGAGAATTACCCGGCAGCAGATTTATACCGCAGCTATTCTTCTCAATATGGGCAAACTCCCCCGCTCCCTCTCACCTCAAGATTGGGAGTCATTTGCAAGAGATGGGTGCTGGCATCTTGCATTTACCGGGATATCCGTAAATAGAGATGAGTAAATAGACTCCCACGACCATGAAAATTGCTTGTTAAAGCGGTTGAGCAGCAATGAATATGATGTGGTGGTTGTGATGCGGGAGTGCCTGACCCCCCTTTTGGCGGCGACCTCTGTTCTCCTGTTAAGCCAAGCATGTGATTTGATTTGGTGCCGAAACAGACGTCTCATCGCCGTCCCGTGATGGGACGGGGAGCGCCGCCCATAAGTTACGCCGCGGGCAGACTTGTCAGGACTATTGCCATTTCACCCCTGGATGGTGTATTTATGATGGGCTCTGTCCTGCTGTCATCTTGAAGGCACCCAGTTAGGAGAGGGCTGCGCCAGTGCACTGCTGATTACAGTGCTCATTTCATGGGTCCTTCATACCAGGTGTTGCTGCCATCACTCAAACCCTGCCCCCCACCCCACCTCCATCAGCTCTTATGGCCACCTCCAACTCCTAGTAGTAAACATGCGGCACTTCTTCTGTCAAGCTTCTAGCACCAAACATACAACAAACTCACGAAATATGTTCTCACTACTTTTTACGAGGTTGTTTTCCCTTCGCTGGTGGCAAAACTTCCTAAAGGTGAACCTTGCTGCCTTTTTAATTACCACAGACTTGTTCAATCTGAGCCGATGTCTATTTCTGCATCTTGTGTGAATGAGAAGATGTCATGGACCGTATGGAAGCAGCCTGGGAAGGGGATTAAACCACTAATTAGAGTCCACAGTGCAATCTTCCCTCTGTGTTTGAACCGTCAAGGAGGGAAAATTGCACAGGTTGTTCCTGATTACTTGGGTGTCAGGACTCATTTGGAGAGTTTATTACAGCTTGAGTGCTGTAGATTGACTTCTAAAGAGTTATGCAAGTTTTCCTTAATAAACTCACCTGTACTTACAGATAGAGGTAAAACGGTAGACTTGACCACAAGTGATCACAGCCTTCAACTGTTAGCCCAAAATTTATAGAAAAGTTAGATATCTTAGTTCCAACTCAACATCTTTGTATATTTTGTATGTTGAAAATGTTTTTCGATACTTTGTTTTTATGGCCTTTGACCCAGAAGATGCACTCGTATACTATCGACCAATAATTACCATATTGAATATCAATGTTCCTCAGTAAAAGCAGTAGTGTTGTGTGTTCTATGATGATAAGTTGATCAGCGTAGACACAAATTCATACATTGCAGAAAAGGCATGTCAACAGCGATACATGTAGGTGACTTTCAAGTGTCTACAATCAATGATGTTCCAGCAGCTTCAGACACATTTGAAAAAGGTTGGATCTTGATTTGCAATTTGCATATCCTGTGTTTACATTAGAAAAACAGTTTTGAAGCCAAGCAATCTATTAACCTTTCTCTGTTGTATCTCTTTCCTCTCACTTCCCCACTCTTTGATTCTTCCCAGCCAGGGTTACAAATCCAATTCTCCTCATGCCAGGTTCATTCATAAGTAAAGAGAGGAGTGTGGAGTGGGGTTACTATCCTGATAATGTGTTCCCATGATCGATGTCCGTTATTACCCCAGTTCCATGCTCTGAAGCCGCGGCACAGGATGAGTACAGTGGCCACAAGGACACTGACACCGGGTCTGCGCGAATCCCGCCTTCGTTAATCACCGCGCGGGAAACGACACAGTGCTGTTGTTTTCTAACCCTTGCGTGGTCCTGCCGGCGGGAATGTTGCGGAGAGTGACAGGTTTGTGGCGTGATGTATCGGACTTGGTGGTAGCCAAAGTCACGGATTCATTTCTTCGCAATCCCAAGTTCATTAATAAGTAACATTGCGAGACGGAATTCAAGGCGATGACATTTCAAGGTAGATCGATTCCACACCATGGAGCTCCCATTCTGTGCCAATATCCCCGTACCTCCATTCCCGCCACCGCTCTTTTCCACATTTGACATCTATCACAGCGGACACTTTTGGAGCTTCCACATTTGGCTGCCGTCTCGCGAGGCCCAAACTTGTTTGCTTGTGGAATAAATCACCCCGGACTCATCACCGGTAGGAGAAAATTGAGGTTTCCTAACTTTCTATGCATGAGCAGATGGAATTGCCCCAAATTACTCGCTTGTGTTCCTACGAGTGCAATTTGAGCACCGGGGGTTGTGTCATTCATCAGCCAGCATCACCTGCAAACACCCCATCCCATTACCTCCTAAACACCTTTGTTTTGTCAGGTCGACAGACCAAGGAAGGGGCCAGATGGAAAGGTACACGTAGTCGGCCTGTGGTTCTCTTTTTCCTGAGGTCAGGAAAACTTCTAGCGAAAGTTGTAACCGATTATTTATAGATGTTTTTCACACTGCTCATCTTTGGTAATCATGTGTGTTTATCACCCCTATTAAAGTAACTGCCGACCTTCGAGTCTTAATGTTTATATTTTTGCTGTATCGTAGGCCCAGTAAAAAAAACTGTCCTGGCAGTCTCAATAATCTCAGTAAATAAAGTAAGTATGACATTTTAATTTGCCAGTGATACAGATATCATGTCTACTAAAGCATTGCTCAGTAAAGTTTGATGGCGTCGTACCAATTTGCAGTTTGTAGACCTGTACAGTGTAGTTTTACACATGGAAAAGTAAAACTAGCAGGGGGCATCGTTAAAGGTTTTAGCCGTCACCTTGGCCAGTCGTACGACCTTGTACTGTTGTTGGCGTCGGCACACCCCACATTTTCCCTTCCACACTTCACTGAGTAATAAAAGGTGTCCAGAAAGTTTGGTGGCGGTTCAGACAAAGGTCCTGAATGCTGGCGATATGGTGCATTTAGTGGTCACTACAGGGGGTGGACCATTACAGGCCAAGTTATAATAGGCCGGCCGGGTTTTTTTCCCTGGGCAT